CAGGTGCCGGCTTGCTCATGAGGAGATCAGTTTCTCCCATCAAGTCCAAAACGACCTCCTCGCGAGCAAGCCTCGCACCCAGCAAGTGCAAACCCTGTGGGGCGGGCCAGTTAAATGGGCAGGGTGGGCTGGATCCGTCCCGCAGGCCTTAGTTTGAGGACCCATGCTCTATACAGTCAGTAAAAACAAGACCAGGAGCTGACTGTGGCTCAGATCATGAACTTCTTGTAGCAAAATTCAGACTGAAATTGAAGAAAGTAGGAAAAAGAACTAGGCCAACTCAGGTATGACCTAAATCATATTCCTGATGAATATACAGCAGAGGTGACAAATAAGATTTAAGGAATTAGATCTGATAGACAGAGTGCCTGAAGAACTATGGACGGAGGTTCGCAACATTGTACAAGTGGTAGCAACTAAAACCATCCCAAAGAAAAAGAAATGCAAGAAAGCAAAATGGCTGTCTGAGGAAGCTTTACAAATAGCTGAGGAAAGAAGGGAAGCAAAAGGCAAAGGAGAAAGAGAAAGATACACCCAACTGAATGCAGAATTCCAGAGAATAGCTGGAAGAGATAAAAATGCCTTCTTAAATGAACAGTGTAAAGAAATAGAAGAAAACAACAGAATACGGAGGACCAGAGATCTCTTCAAGAAAATTGGAGTTATGAAAGGAAAGTTTCGTGCAAGATGGGCATGATAAAGGACCAAAATGGCAGAGATCTAACAGAGGCAGAAGCGATTAAGAAGAGGTGGCAAGATTACACAGAAGAACTATACAAGAAAGAGATGAACGGCCCTGATAACCACAATGGCGTGGTCGCTGACCTCTAGCCAGACATCCTGGAATGTGAAGTCAAATGGGCCTTAGGAAGGCTGAGCAACAACAAAGCTAGTGGAGGTGACAGTATTCCAGCTGAGCTATTCAAAATCCTAAAAGACGATGCAGTAAAAGTGCTACACTCAATATGCCAGCGAATTTGGAAAACTCAACAGTGGCCGCAGGATAGGAAAAGGTCAGTTTACATTCCAATTCCAAAGAAGGGCAATGCCAAAGAATGTTCAAACTACCGCACCATTGCACTCATTTCACATGCTAGCAAAGTGATGCTCAAAATCCTACAAGCTACGCTCCAGCAGTATGTGGACCGAGAACTAGCAGAAGTACAGGCAGGGTTTCGAAGAGGCAGAGGAAGTAGAGATCAAATTGCCAACATACGCTGGATCATGGAGAAAGCTAGGGAGTTCCAGAAAAACATCTACTTCTTTGAGCAGACTTCATTGACTATGCCAAAGCCTTTGATTGTGTGGATCACAACAAATGGTGGCAAGTTTTGTAAGCCGCCCCAAGGCTTTTTGCAAATGGGGCGGCATAGAAATGTTCTAAACAAACAAACAAATAAATAAATTCTTAAAGAGATGGGAGTACCAGACTTTTGTAAAGTCTAGGGCCCTGAGGAGCTCCTTTCCCTGGTAGGCCCATGTCTGTGGATCAGCAAGAGTGAGGAAAAGGCTACCTGACCCTTCAGACCCTTGAATCTCTTGCCCAAAGCGTTGAAATCCTGAGTGATCCCACCCAGTCCCTGCCAGGCTATGTCATTTGTCTTCAAAATGGATCATTGGAAGTGGCTGTTGACCCTGCAGGGGAAGAAGATGCACCAACCTGTCCATCACACTCCGGAAGTGTGTGCCTGGCAGAGACCAGACTTCCCTTGCCTCAAGATCTGGCTGGCACCCTCAGTAAGGAGTCCCCAGCGATGATGACCTGCCTTCCCCCTATTGAGATAGGAGGCCATGTCTCAGAAGTCACCTCTCTGGCAGTGGTCCCTGGCTATGTCTGACCCCAAGCTGGGCTTCTCAAGCAGGCTGGTTCCCCAGGGCACCCACAGTCTCAGCCTGCTCAAGTGGAGACAACCGATTTCTCAGTCTCAAATTGGTGCCAAGCAACAGAAGCGGTAGTGCTGGTGGTGCCTCCATGTCTTCCCAGATGGCTCCCCAGTGGCCCCTCCCTCTTCTTGCTGTCTGGAAGGGGGCTGTTCCTGGTTGACCTGGAGGACTTCCTGGGCAATGTCCAGGAACTGCTCCCCCTCAATTACCTGCTAATGGGGAAGTAGGCATCATCTAGACCCTTCACCTTCTCCTTGAGGAGGGACACCAGCTTGCACTTAGTACAAGTGTATCCTGGCTCCTCCTGGGCGAGGTACACAAGAATGGTGCAGGTGCCGCAAGTAACTGCAACACCTACCACTCCTGCCACAGCGACGTTCAGTGAACTTTATATTGACTGGTCTTGCCCTGCTTGAGGAGGAACCCCCTCATCCCTCAGGGAAGACCAAGTCCCCATGGAAGGGAGTCCCTGGGCAACCTGGGCTGCAACTAAGGGACACAGACAAGGGACGACGCCAATGGCTGTGCTGGGCCTAAAGAGGGCCTCGTGGGTAGCCTGCACCAAACCCTGCCCCTTCCACTTTGCCAGGAGTCACGCCAGGGCTCTCTTGAACAGTCGGCTTCCCAGCTCCTGCCTTTCCTCCCTGGGTCCTCTGCTGCTCCTCCACACTCCCCCCGGCTTCGTCTGCCCCTCCTCGCTCTGCTCTGCTGCAACCGCCCCGGCTGGGAGCCAAAAGCAGAGGCTTGCATGCAAAATAAAGAAATTGGGCCAAAGGGTGCCGGTAAGACCACTGCTGCTAGGAGGAAGCATGGCCAGAATATCATCTCCATCCCATACCTCACACTATCAAAAGAGTTTTCTAACCTGTGTTGCAGCTACAAAAGTATGCTCACCTGTGTGTGCTGGGGGTGGGGGAAAGCTGAGTCCTGAGATCCATGCGGAGCTCCTGTTTGCGTCAAGCTAGCAGGCTGCATTTGGATGTGTTACTACATGTAGGAGTTGAGCAGGGGGGTTAACTCAGTGGCCCTTCCACTTCTCTTGTGTCTCAAAATCCAAGATCTCCGGGAGCTGAGGCTTCTTTAACTTTGCCCCCACCCCATGACCAGGAAACCCAAACGAAGCACAGCAGCAAAAAGGTGCAGAAAACTACTCCAAGATGATATCAAGTATCAAAATCTTTTCCATGTGGATACTTTGCACATACCCCAGCATGCGTCTCCTCCTGGCGCCAACCTTATTCTCTCCTCCACAGGAAGTGCAATCTCCGCATTGGCTCTCCCGCTCTGCTGCTACTTCTTTATTCCTCCCAAAGCTGCCCTCTCTCTGGAGTCATTCCGAGGGACCAAGGCGAAGGCTAGCCAGCTGAAGGAGGACAGGAGTGGCCCCAGCCTCAGAGGCCACTGCCCGTCTGCTCAATGGACATTGCAGGCAAAGCCAGGCGGCACAGCATTGGGCTGGTTCCAGGCATGGCAGCTCCCCAGACACTTCACAGCCACACACTACTCACAGAAGGCTCTTCTCCAATGTGTCCCTCGCTTCACCTGCCTCCCCAACCACAGTGACTCTCACCTTTCCTGGTATGCATTTCCTCACAGAAGATTTTCCCTTTTCCGTCTTTCGCATTCAGCTCAGCCCTCTTCAGCACGTCCGTTTCTCCCAACGCTTCCTGATCCCTTTCACAGACACAGCCTGCCCACCCAAGACCCCTGCATCCACATCAGAAGCCAAGCCACAAGGCATCCTCCTCCCCCCCACTCTCCTCAGGAGGGCCTCTATACACAGCGCTTCGGTTTTCACCAGAAGAAAATTACCGTATTTTTTGCTCTATAAGACGCACTTTCCCCCCCCCCCTCAAAAGTACGGGGAAGTATCTGTGCGTCTTATAGAGCGAATGTGTGTGTGCCCGACGGCCAGGATGCTGCCGGCCCGCCTGCCCCACCTGGCTGGCACACGCTCAGCGCGCCCTGCTCCGCCCCCCCCGCAGCGCAGGTGAGAGCTGTGCTGCTCCGGGGGAGAGGTGCGGAGGAGGAGGAGCTGCAGGCTTTAACCTGCCGGCCAAAGAGAGAGACAGACTGCTCACCCCCACCACCTGGGAACTGCTCACCCCCACTGCCTGGGAAGACCTGCCGCCGCCGCTGCCACCGCGCCGCCCGGAAGACCACCGCTGGCATGCTGCCAGCCCCACATGGCACCACCTGGCTGGCACGTGCTCAGCACGCCCTGCTCCATCCCCCTCCTCCAGCGCAGGTCAAAGCTGTTAATCACAGGTCAGTGTGTGTTTTCAAATGGCAACCCGTCTTTTAATGAAGCCCATGGGGAAGTGATGGGGAATGTGCCTGTGATTATCAGGAAGCTTTCCATGGATCAGTTATCTGTTAGTTGATCAGACACATTTTTTTTAGGATCAGTGGATATTTGAACAGCATTACCTTTGTGTATGAAGTTTATTCTTCAAAGGCTACACAGTCCCTGTGTGTTTGATTTACCGTACAATATCTCATTTTTGTCAGAAGTTTTTTTCTATTATTTACTAGTAGGGCAGCGTGGACATTACCAGCTTTTTTAGATTCATTATTGAATTGTCTGCAGCAGCTCTTGTATAACTGGTATAGATTGTGGATTCCTTCAATAATTCCACTACTGACTAAGAAAGTGATGTCAGTGATTGTGAGCAACAGAGCTTCATAAATTCTGACTCTAGTGATGATGAGTTCTATGGGCTCAATGAAAACTAGAATAGTACTCGAACTTTAAAGTCTCTCTTTTGTTAATGACAGTGATGATGGTTCTTAATGCCACTGTTGACTGCTGTTCACTTTACAAGGTTGAAATACGGTATTACTGTATTCTGTTATAGTTTATTAAATAGTTTAGTAAACCATTTGATTCAGAATATTTTTTTCTTGTTTTCCTCCTCTAAAAACTAGGTGCCTCTTATGGTCAGGTGCGTCTTATAGAGTGAAAAATACAGTAACTTTTATCCATCATCCCCCACAGGGCAAGTTCTGAGGCACAGCCTTAGGCTGGAGGCCTCTCTCTGCCCTCAGACCACTGGGGTGGATCCTTGGACATCCAGGGCATCGCTAACTGCATAGCCCCAGTTCATACCACTTACTCTGTGATTTCTTCAGTCACTGTGTGCTCCACTTGAAGTCGGGAGTTCACCTCAATGAAGTAATGCTTGCCATGCCTGTCCACCAAGAATTCCACGGTGCCAGCATTTTCATATCCCACCTGCAAAAGGAGAGTTGCAGGTTCCATTAAGTAAGCATGTGCATGTCAGCATGAGTTCGAGGTCCATGTCTGAATTAGGCAGCCAAGACCATGCCACAGGCTCAAACCCAACCTGTAAAGAAGTTGTGGGATGAATTCTATACCTGTCAAAGGCCAGGCGCTCAGTGGGAGATTAATACTAGAGAATCAGGGAGAGAGACAGAAGAAAGTGATGCTGGCAGCTGGCACTCACAATGGCCTGCTTCCAAGATTTCACAGAAAATAGGGACACATGCTACCCAGAAGCTCAGCTGCACTGCCAACAGCAGGCTAAACATGAGCCAGCAGCATGACACGGCAGTTAAGAAGGCGAACACCTTCCTTGGATGCATGGCTAGAAGCATGGCTTCCAGATCGAGAGAGGTCTACTACTCTATAAGAGTCTGGTGTGTTCACAGCTAGAGTACTCTGTCCAGTTCTGGGCTCCACATTATAAGAGAGACTTAGCTAGGCTAGAATCAGTTCAGCGCAGGGTCACAAGGATGGTACCAGATTGGGGTGGGATACCATATGAAATGAGATTGAGGGAATTGGGTCCTTTCAGCTTGGAGAAGAGGACACTCAGAGGGATCTTATAGTAACATACAGGTATTTGAAGGGGTGTCACAGGGTAGAGGGCCATGAGCTGTTTCCCCCTGTGGTAGAGGGAAGGACCGGGTCCAATGGGGCAAAGCTCAAGGAACCAGGCTTCAGGCTGCATGCCAGGAAGTACTTCCCGATGGTTAGGACTCCTGGGATATGGAATGGGCTTCCAAGGGAGGTGGCTGAGGCCCCATCAGTGAGGGTGTTCAAGGAAAGATTGAGCAACCATATGTTGGCAATTACATAAGCAGAGCTGGCTAGAACTGAAGGTCAGATGAGATGGCTCAGGAGGCCCCTTCTGACTTGCTATGTTTCTATGTAATGCCTCACATGCCTTGATCCAGAATGTCTTTCTGATTTGGAGGGCTGGCTAAGCAGAGGCTCAGGCTCCACCAAGGCAAGGAAGCCAGAAGTCAGATTCAAGCACTGTATGGTATATACAGTACAGGAACCCAGATGTCCCCCTGACTGTTTGAGCTGTCCTTGTCTAATTGAGCTCTCCAAGTTAGTTCTGAAAGGGACACTTCAAACCCCTGGTGCAGGAAAAATCTCATTCCAATTCTTTGCCATTATTAATCTTGCTGCTGTTACCAAGTTTGTTATTAATTCATTCTTTTTTTAAAAAATATTAACAATAATGCAATTTCAGGATTCACTTCAATTTTTGAATTCAGTATCTTGCTAATTTCCTTAAAAATATTATCCAAAATTTCTTATTATTATCACATTCCTACCACATATGGAAATAGGTACCCACTTTTTGCCTGCATCTCCAACATAAATTGGAATATTAATTATCCATATAAAACAGTTTTACTGGCATCATATATAATTTCCATACTAATTTACTAATAATTTAATTCTAATTGACATTTTTAGGGTTCTCTTATCCCATTTTTTTCCAGTTCTTCCTTGTATAGACATACCACCCTAAATCCATTTCCCATGAAGTTTAAGAAAATCATATTGGTCCTCCTCCATATCTATTAGAATCTCAAAAGTCTCACTTATGATCTCCCTTGTTTGCATAGTGCCTTGAGTTTCCCTAAATAAGAAAACCTTTACAGATTTGGCAAGAACTCTACATTTACCATTTTTCTTCATTTTTTGTCTATTGTTCTAATTGAGACTTCGGTAGTAGGTGGCATATAAATAGAAGTATGTATGTATAAATAAATAAATAAATACATAAATGCATAATATTAAATCAAGTTATTTTTTCTTTTCCTAGCAACACCATTATCCTTCCCATACTAATCATTTTCTCCAACCATTTTTTCATTTAACCTCACCCTGTTCCAACTGGGGATGCCCACAACTAGGACAGGAAGACAACCACCCTGTTGCCTTTAATTGCTAGTCAAGGATAAATTGCCTCTGAGCATGAAGGTTCCAGACAGTCATCATGGCCCCTTCTGTTTCTCTCTGGCTATGTATGTTTACGGTAACAAATAACAACTACTACTACTACATCACAGTTCTCTGTAGAAAAGCACAGTCATCCATTACAGGCATTTTTTGGTATTCATACTAACCTAAAGTTACTTTTGGGCCTCACTTACTGAAGACAACTTTCTGGATTTCCCCAGATCAGGCAGCAGGAAATCTGAGAGTGCAAATGACAAATTCAGTTTGGAGGGGAGGATGCCACTTGGATCAGGACTGCTGTGCGGGGAGGGAGGCCACCGTATCTGCTTGTGCAATTTTCCTAGTGGAGCTCCCCTGCAAACAAAATGGCACATTGTACCAAAGGACAAGCCACGCAGGCATCATGCAGGGGCAAAACAGAATCGCCCCATTCCCCTCCTTCAGCTGGAGCAACATCATTGCACAAACCACTTTGGGAGAAGATATCCAAGGCCAGGCCTCCAGCAGCCTCACCCGGTTGGGCCAAAGAGGCACCAATTAGAAGCCCAGCAGACAGCCAATGCCCCACTTAATGCAGAAGAGCCAGTGTGGGGCCTGATCCTCTGCTGACAGGGAGCACTTTCATAAAGCATCCTTCTCCCTGATGCTGGAGGCTGCACATCAAGAGCCATGACAAGCTAAAAGCAGTTACACCTATTTTGCAAATGGAGAAGGAATATGGGCAAAGATGGACAAGCTGATGCCTGGATATTAACTCCACTATTGCAGGCAAGAAGCATCAAGCAGAGAACAGCATCCTTCTCTCTCCTCCCAGTGCCTTCATGGAAGCGTTAATGTGGAAGCGCAGGGCATGCGCCACGGACCTCACAGGAGCAGGCAATCTACTGACAGCTCAAATGTTTAGCGAGCAGCCACAGAAGGCGCATGCTAGTCAGATCAGGGAGGAGCTGCTCTAGCTATGAAAGCCCCATCAGCGACCTCACAGAGACAGAGCTTTCAAAGCATTGGGATTGGTATGGCCTGTCTGAAGAGGGCTTCAGGCATATTGCCTCTGTGTTCTCCCCAAAGCAGGACGGAGGAGGTCTGCATAGATTAGATGAGGCCAGGGACTTAGGGGCACAGATTAGAGTCACCCCACTAGACATCGAGGGGCTCCTCAGGGCATTGGACATTAAAAAGGTGCCAGGCCCTGATGGTTTACACCCAAGAGTATTTCGAGAGTTGGCAGGGGTTCTCTCACATCCACTGGCCTCCATTTTTGAGGTCTTCCTGTTCCCTGCATCCATGTGCCCTCTGGCCTTCTTGACGTTGCTGCAACTGCAGAGGGGGCCTTCCATGATCGCTGGAGCACCAGCAGGAGCGGAAGAGCAACTGGACGGTGGCGGGGTGCGCCACACGGTGCTGCCTGCAGAAGACACTCAGGCGCTTCAGCTGGCCCAGTGCATCCCTGGACCAAGGCTGGTTGCAGGAAGCACGTGGCTCCCTTTCTACAGCCGCGGCTGCACTGGACGCCACTCTGCTTCCACGCACAAAGGAGGTCCTGGCCGTGGCCTATATAGCCCTAGACAGCCTGGGCCAAGCTACCAAAAGACCACCTCCTCCCGTATTTCTGTCCAGTTCTTGAGCTATCCCAGAAAGGCGAGTTCTGGGATAAACTGTTTTCATGTGGTGGCGTCGTTACATTATTGCAAGCTGTTCCAGGTGCATTTGCTGGAGAGCAGCCTCTGAAAAGTCTTGCTCGCTCCGTTGAGCTCCAAGACAGCCTCTCAGCTCGAAGGCACGCACCCGCCACCCTTGCTGCACGTGGAAGGAGAGCCTGTGTGCACTTGGGGCTCTGGCCCAGGGCTGCTGCTATGCGGAGGCAGAGCGCAATGCCATCAGTTCACAAATCTACCTTTACGGCAAACTATCATGGCAGTGTGGCTTATAAGAGTCAGAAACGCAAGCAGGCGATCCTGAAGAGGTGGCTTTAGAGATAACTCAGGAGAAGCAATAAAGGTACAAAGTGATTTGAGCAAAAAGCTCGTAAAGCCCCAAGCACAAGCCTATTTCCTTGCCAATCTTACCCCAAGAGAGGGAAGGGGGGAAGGGGGGTGCAAGAGTGAGGAATCTGCTGGGCCTGGCCATCAGCAGCACGGTTCCCCCAAGTGAGCACACTGCTTCTGAGTTCCTTCTCACGAGGCTTTACTGTTACGTCTCTCTTAAGTTCACCCAGAGTGGAATGCCGCATGCTCTCCAACACCCCCAGCCCCCCCACTTCTTTACATCCCTTTTGGGTGTGCATCCCAGCAGGTGGGGCACTCTCCTGTCTTCTCATTCCTCAGTTAACTGGATTTCCCATGCTGCCTCCTAGCAACGGGCATCACCTCCTCCAAGGGACAGACTTCTGTGCCAGGCAGACCACTCGGTTCCTGCTGTGAGATCTGCTCAGGCCCGACTCCTCCTCTGCTCTTGGTATTTGTAGACCACAGTTCTTGTCAGGCACAGCTGCCAGCTTCACTTCCTGTTCTTCCACCTCCCCATTCAGCTGGCCACACCCATCGGCCTGGACTAACAACTCCTCTCCTTGCTCCCCAGACATTTCATGGCCTTGATGTGATGCGGAAGTGTGCTGAGATTCCACAACAATTTCATCTTCACTAGCTGAACTTGAGTTCCCAGCAAAGTTTCAGACCGCTTGTGCATGTTCTGGCACCACACAACACTGGGGGCTAAATGAAGACTGGAGAAGGCCAGGAGCCAGGCTGGTGGCAGCAGTGACGCTTCTGTCACACGCTTCTATCAGCATTTGAGTTCTGTATTGGGATTGACAGCCAAGCAGTGGGAGACAGTGGATCAAGGGAGCATCACAATTGCGGCCAGCAAGTCCACTTGCCCAGCCAGACACTGCAGAGGATAATGAAGTGTGGAAGCCCTTAATGGGATCTTGGCAATAGCTGGATTTTAAACGGGTACAGGGAGCAGGGCACAAGTGGGTGGGGGAGGAGGTGCATCTCTCAAGGAAGCCAAGC